TTTTTTTTTATCATTATAGGGTGGTTGTGTACACACACTGCCAACACACATTTCAGTTCAAACAACTTGTAAAAGTGCATGTAGCATCCTATGACCCCTTTAAGACTTCCACATAATCAGATTTGTACATCTTGTTCAGTTACACAACGTGCATGACCAAATGGACATCAAACCTGGCCGAACATGCCTTTTATGCACCATTTTTGAATATATTCAGAACCACAAAATAGACTTATTAAGATTTTAAGTGAATTATGACTTGTTCCATCCTGTCTACAAAAAGCTAATGACTTCAGAGGACTTTGAATATTGTGCACAAGTCATATGGACTACTTTTACGGTGCTTTTTGTCTTTTTTGAGGGCTTCATAGCATTCACACCCTTTCATCCTTCAGAATATAACTTTTTGTATTCCATACGGGAAAAGAGAATCACATGAGCACATCAAACACAGCCAAGGAAACTTTAAAAACAATGCAAAGTTATTCAAGCTCTAGGTGCACTGGAAAGCTATTTGCAAAATTAATGCAAAATTAGTGCTAAATAAACTCTTTTATATATGCAAGTAATAATGTTAATTTCCAAGCAATTGGAAACCTTGTGTTTGGAAATCCTGCGTTTTTAACTTCCAAAAGCGGAGCCATGGTCAAATGGAAACTCAATTCCTGTCTTTCTGTGGATGCAGGCCACTTTCTCCCTTTTGCTCACACACAGACACAGAACTGAGGTTAATCTGGCAGAACCATGGCCTTAATATACCCCAAATCCCCACATGTGTAACACTAAAAAAGAAAGACAGTTTTCCTATGTTTATGGTCATTATTTCATTATCTTTCCATTTTAGCTGCAAGTTTTTTTTTTATTTTAAGCACTCCACTGTTAGAAATATCCAGAATGGAAAACAAATATACCCCAAATCCCCACATGTGTAACACTAAAAAAGAAAGACAGTTTTCCTATGTTTATGGTCATTATTTCATTATCTTTCCATTTTAGCTGCAAGTTTTTTTTTATTTTAAGCACTCCACTGTTAGAAATATCCAGAATGGAAAACCTGTTGGCGTCAGTACCACTAAACAACAACATTAAGCTTTTGGACATGCAATTAAAAAAGACCGATACTATGGCAGAAGCAGATGGTTTGGTAACTTCAGTGGATGGAGACTTGATCCATATATATTCAGGAAAAGAATTGGATAAAACTGTAAAGCTTATTCTCATTGTGCTAATATTACTGTAATGCATGTCAGAACCGGGCTGAAAAGGTCAAGAATTCTTCCTCGTAAACACTGAGTGGCTTTGGCTTCAAAAGAGCGTTTTTCACCTCATCAACAAGCCTAGATTTCAACTTTAAAGGACAGTGGTATTAACTTAAGCGCTGTAAATGCTCACTTAAAGTAGGCTTACGTATAAATAACATTTTCAGATTTCAGTTTTTAACAGAACGTTTGGTTTTCTGGGAGTTTTGCCATCTCACACTACGTTCAAGTGCACCTGGTAAGCTCCCACTTCTGTTAGACAGTTGTTATTACAATATTTCACAAATCCAAGCCAGAAACAAAGTAAAAAAACAAGCCTGTCACAGTGTTGGTTGTGGTGCCCTGGACTGGCCATTTGAGGGCGCTCTGTCTGTTCTATGTTGTATGTGTTAAACTCCATTTCCCATAGTCCCCTGCTTATTAATTCTGTTCTGATCAGTAGCACCTGTTATCATTTACTCATTATCCCAGCTATATATACCATGCTCACTCTGTCTGTCATTGCGTCTGGATTATATTGTCTTCTTGGTTGGTGTTGTCGGTGTCAGGTTTTTGGATTACATTTTGCAACGTTTTGTTCTGTTTTGTCCTGTTTTACTTCTAATAAACTGCACATGGAACTTACCCTGTTTCCTCCTGGCATGCCGTGACAAAGCCTATAAACAATGGACATTCTGAAAAAAGCTCTTCTTTCTCTCATACAAGTGGACAAGCATTGCTAATTACATTTGCAATACTATCAGACAATGATTACTTTTGTACAGTATCTAGCAAAGATCCTGATCTTGCATAAAACAATATTTATCTTGGCGACAGTATAAAGTGTCTATTAATAAAGATTTTGCTATATAGTCTATATATAATGAATGTAAATATATCCATGAAGTGCAGGATTGCCTAAAGTTATTGACAAAGAAATATGCATGAATGAGAAAATAATGCATGGGATGTGTTTGATGTTAAAAAGAGTTAAGCGCAATAAGCTGTGAAAAAACAGCTTTAATAAGAATAAATGTACATTTAATTAATATGGTGACATTTTATTTTATTACCATTTTAAATGTTATTTTATTAGAATTGTTTTATTATAATTATTTATTTTATTGTAATAAACATTATTTATTATTGTGAAGTTTTATTATTCAGTTAAATGCTACTGTTAAACAGACATACTGTTTACTTCATACTGCATTTGTCCTATTGTTTGGATCTTATTTTTAATAACAAATAAATGAATAAATAAATAAAATAACTATATTGTGATATATATCATTATTACGGAATGAAATGACTCGCATCATGAAATAAGATTTTGGTCATATTGCTCACCACTACACTGTAAAATAAATAAATAAATAAATACAAAATAAAATACAATTAAAGCTGTACATTTAAAAAAAAAAAGGATTACTGGAGTATGTTTTACAAGAAAATACTATTTCAGTTTTTACTTCAAAATTTCACGTTTAATTCAATGTGTTACTTGCCATTTCTTTGTAACTGTTCGTGAAAATTACTACCGATTTTTGAGTGAAAATTATTTCTACACCAAATAAACCGGTATAGAAACCAGCTAATGCTCGCTAGGAACCTTTTATGGCAACTCTTATAATGTAATGCACTGATTTATAGAATTATTTCTATTTCATACTACTTTCCTTTTACAAAGCCCCTAAAGGGACATGTTTATGGTTAAATCATAATAATAATAATAATAATAATAATAATAATAATAATAACAATATTGACATGAGAGAAAAAAAACACATTTGAAATATTTTGCATTCTCTCATAAAACTGTTGTGTTCCCCTGAGAAACTTTGCATTTGTTCGCAAAACTTTTGCGATGGAAAACTATATTTCAGTGCCTTTATGAGGGAATGTAAAGATTCTCTGGAGAATCCAATCATTTTGCAAAAGAATGCAAAGTTTCTTGAGGGAAGACAATACTTTTGCAAGACAACGCAAATGTTTTGTAAGAATGCAATGTTTCTTGGGGGAACACAATAGTTTTGTAATTTTGTGTGAGATGTAAACTTTCTCTGGGGAATGCAATCGTTTTGCGAGAAAACGCAAATGTTTTATGAAAAAATGCTAACGTTTTGCGAGAGAACAAAAAGTTTCTTGAGGGAACACAATATTTTTGTGACAGAATGCAATGTTTTGTGAGAGAACGCAACGTTTCTTGTGAACACACAATACTTTTGTGACACAACGTTTTGCAAGCAGATGCAAAAGCACTGAAATGCAATTTTTCCTTCCATCTCATAATTTTTTCATCACCATAACCCGTTAGGGGCTCTGTACCCTTTGAAATGTTTTAATGTGTTCGCCAATATAATCACTTATTTTTGCCAAAATTGCATAGTATTATATTAAAAACTGCGTGCGACACAGTATGTGTATGCTACTGTATTCTGTATGCTATTTTGGAAAAATATTTAAAAAATATATATAATACACTGCATAGTACATGCAGTATGAAGTAAATAGTAAAAGATTTTGGTAACACTTTAGTTTAGATACCAATTTTCACTATTAAGTAGTTGCTTATAAGCATGCATATTATTAGCATATTGGCTGTTTATTAGTATTATAAAGCACATATTAATGCCTTATTCTGCATGACTATATTTTAGATCACTTAATCCTACCTAACACCTAAACTTAACAACGACCTTATTAATTATTAATAAGCAGCAAATGTGGAGTTTATTGAGGCAAACGTCTTAGTTAATAGTTAGCTAATAGTGAGAATTGGTCCCCAAACTAAAGTGTGACCATTTTTTTAAAAATGATTTATTGGTACAAAGCTTAAACATGAATTTATTGCAGGTTAAATCCCTCTGGAGTGGCCTGGGATTAATCCACAGAGCTGTGAGTGTGTAACAGGACGAACAACCAAATTAGTCCACATATCTAATGAACGAACAAGCAAGGTATGAGGAATCTGCGAGGGATCTCCAATTCTGTGTAAATCTGCTTCTGCAGACACAGATTGCAGTTGGGCCACGTAACATTGACTTACTGTGTTGCTGCATGTTCTGTAGCGGATGTTCCTGCCCTCACAGTTCCTGTGGAACAAACACAAAACAAAATCAGATATGTTACAAAGCCATTGTTCTTCTTTGTGGCACAGCCCCTCCATCTTTTGTCTCAACAGTAATCATTTGTAGACCTGCCCCTGATTATTCTCTCTTTAAACTTTTAAAGGTTCTTTGTCTGTTTGTGTGCTTCTTAGGAACATAAAATAAATGCATGCTATATTGAAAAATACTGGGATCTACAACACTGTTAATCTAGTATAAGTGGATTTAAATTTTTTTAAATAAAAACAGGAAATGATTTGCCATTCGTGACTCTTTCCAAATAACATGAATCCAGCTGCAGCTGTATGAAATATGCAGCAATGTGTTTTGAGAAAAGGATGTTTAGAGACTGAAATAGAGAGAAAACTAGAAAAAAGGACAACAGGATATTGACTTTCTAAATGTCCTATTACCGCAGCCTAAAAGCATTAGCCTATCATATTTCAGCGTATTAATTCCGCTCAGAAGAGCAGCAGTCACCCTAAACAGAAAAAGTTCACAACTTCTGAAGGGTGGAAAGAAGATGCAACCAGACTGCGATTAAGATCTCAATCTTTCTCTGCAATCATCCAGCCCTTGAGCGAAACGATTTAGAACAAAATTCTAGCTTTTTACTGAATACGGCATAGTGTGCACTGCATATTGCATACCATTTATTTTTTACAATTTAAGAGATTATTCCACGTTGCTACATTGTTGTCGCACAACCTCACCATATTTGCTGCATATCATAGTGGAAATAAAAATGGCTATTTTGCATTTTTAATCTAAGTTTGTGTAAAAAAAATTAAAATAATAATGAGTCATAACAACGATGAGATAATAACGATCAAATAATGAGTCATGCAAGAGATTGCAGCTGATATTACTGCTGTCAGTCAGTGATCAATCACAGTTTCTTATATTTCTATGTGCCATTTAAGGGCAGGGTTGTCTGAAATATATTACACCACATTATGGTGGGAAAAAAATGTGACATCAGATGCTGCTTAACATGTAATTAAAATGTAACATCTGATTTTTTATTTTTCTTGTTGCTGAAATTTGTAACTAAAATGTAAGTCTGTAAGATTTCATTATATTATAAACAGTAATATAGAAAAATATTATTACAACTTAAAAGAACTGTTTTCTATTGTGATAGTTTTTGAAACATAATTTATTCCTGTGATGATAAAGGTGCATTTTCATCAGCCATTACTCCAGTCTTCTGAAACAGGGTTATTACAGTTAACTACTAAAACTGAAACTAAAATGAAAACCATAAAAACAAAAACATTTTTATTTCTTGAGATAAAATAAATATTAACTGAAATAAAATATTTTAAAATGTTCTTTTTTAAGTATTTACCAAGACCACAAATAACTAAAACTAAAATAAGAAGTCTTAATTAATCATTAAAACTATATATATATGACAACAACTCAACAAAATTACTAAAACTCCAAAATTGAAAATGAATAAAAACCTTAATAGTATCTTAATGATATAAATAACACTATGCTATATGTTATGCTAATTTGATGCTCAAGAAACAATGTTGAAAACAGCTGCTTAGCTGCTTAATATTCTGATACTGATTTTTTTTTCAGGATTCATTGACGAACATAAAGTTTAAAAGAACAGCATTTATTTGAAATATAATTTTTTTGTAACATTATACGTCTTTACTGTCACTTTTGATCAATTGAATGTGTCCTTGCTGAATGAACGTATTAATTTATTTAAATCATCTACATTTTACAGACCCCAAGCTTTGTGAACAGTACTGCAACCTAATTCATAATTCAACAAGTATGCACTGCATTCTTAAGGCTGCTTCAAGGCAGAAAAGTGTTATTTGGTTAAACTGTCTTTTCTATGGTCAGTCTTCTCTTTCAGGTCAACTACAGCCTGGCCTGTCTCCATCCAAACCATCAATGTCTGTTATTTCTACTCCAGTGCCCTTTAACAGGTGCTCTGGCCTGTGTGCAAGCGATATTGCTCGGATGCTACGATTCAGAATGAGCATCTTTGTTCGCTGACCACATAATCACCTGCGGAATCACTTCCAGATCTTCCTGTAATCAGCAGAACGCAATCACAACACAAGCTGGCCCGTTGCTACAGCTCTTCTAAAGTTTTACTGACAATAAACAAAAGGAGGAAGAGAGCCGAGGTTATTCCAGTAGCACACAGCAAACCCATGATGGTCTGCTTAATATCGCAAAAACTTAATCTGTCCAAGACATTTTTCAGGGGACGAAATGGCAACAAATTTCAAAATGGTTATTGATTTGGGATTTATTTTATTTTTTTGTATAAATTCCCAAGCCACGTGGCAAATATACTCAAGAACCACATAAACCAAAGAGTACATAAGACAAGAGACAAAAGCTTGACTTTTCAAAATTGATAATACTTAATGTTTTTTGAAGACTGGAGTAATGATGCTGAAAATTCAGTTTTGCATCACAGAAATAAATTACATTTTAAAATATATTCGAATAGAAAACAGTTATTTAAAATTTGAAAAAATATTTCATAACATTGCTGTTTTCACTGTATATTTGATCAAATAAATGCAGCCTTTGAGAGCATAGTTATCCATTTAGCAGACACCATTATTCAAAGCATGCATTTAGCTTGAATATTCTTGGAAAAAACTAATCATCACACAGGAAGCATTTAATTACAAATCATTGAGAAACATTTTAAGTTGAGGGTCAGCAGAGCATTTCCAATGAGACCCAAAGCAAGGCGTAATTGGCCCAATTGTTTTCACTTGGATCTAACCGCTCAATTAGCTTTAAATGAGTTCCATTTTCTATGTGCATTGCTTTAGCTTTTGGCATCTACCCTCCAGCAATGAAGTAATGGGCACTGTTGCCAGATATCAGTATTAATGTGCAGAAACAAATAAGCCATTCATTGGGCGATTTCCACTGTTGCACTATCAAAACATTGCTCTGTTTGTTTCAGTAAGGTTCGATACACCTGAAGAGAGCTATCTGTTAGCGTTCCCATTTATTTCAAATGGCAGTTAGTCAGTACATAATTTCTCTCTCAGGTTTGGAGCCAATCACCTGAGTCGTAAATAGCATGTGATAGCAAAAAAGACATCATGGCAGTGTTGACAGAGGCGTACCTACATGAAGTGGGGGCCCCAGGCAAAATTAATCAGCGAGGCCCTTCTAAAAGATTTTTTTTGTTAATGCAGTGGTTCCCAACCCTGGTCCTGGAGGCACCCCAACACTGCACATTTTACATGTCTCCTTTCTCTGACACTCCAGTTTCAGGTCTTGGAGTCTCTACTAATGAGCTGATGACCTGAATCAGGTGTGTTTGATTAAGGAGACATGCAAAACGTGCAGTGTTGGGGTGCCTCCAGGACCAGGGTTGGGAACCACTGTGTTAATGTATCTTTGTTACCTAGTGGTATAATTATACAACTAACAGTATATAATGCACAAAACAGGACATGCGCTTTCTCTCTCACTCGGATGTGCACGCTCAAACCTGTGCACTCAAATCTATAAAATTGTCTTCTCTCCTGAAATTAATGTTGCCAGAAGCCCATCAACCACCAGACTTCCCTGACTGACTGATGAAATAACAGAGTACCTTTCAATTACGGATCCATCTTTGTTTGCATTTTCAAGCTGATTTTGGTCAGTGAATTCTCGTTATTTATTTTATTATTTAGCCTAATAGTTATTTGAATGAAGTGCCTATTCTAAATGGGTATTTATTGAATTATTTTATGTATATCAGCAAGTGAACGAGTTGCGGCGAAGCTCATGAAAAGAATGTTTTGTTTAGTTGTGTATTGTAGTCTGTGCGTTTCTCTTCGCGAGACACGAATAATATCTTTTGTGTAGCCTAATGGATTCAAGCACAATATCGAACGGAGAAAAAAATATTTATCATTTTTAATGAATTAGGCTGTAAAAATGGGATGTTAAAATATTTAAGGCACAGTTGTTGCATCACAACCTAGCCCGTTATCATTTGCTCATGGAACAATGATAAATAAAATGTTTTATATTTGGTTTGGAGTGGAATAGAGTGTGGGCAGAAGCATAAATTGGTGCCTATGCGTACCGTTGTCCTGTTTCCTCTTTTCCTCCTCTTTTTTTCGCTTCAGGCTGCCTGATAGATTTGTCCTCTTCTTTATGTTTAACGTGCGTGTTTATGTGTGCGTGCGCAAACTTTTTCAGTTCATTCCTAAGTTGCGCAAGCTCAACTTCCATAGGAATGGATTAAAAACGCTCGGGTCCCGCATTCTGCTCCGCTCCAGATCTATGCGGTGCATAATCTACAGCACTGCAAGGACACACTGCACCTATTTGAAAAAGGCGGCTGAGGAGGCGAAAGCATAACCAGTGTATCGAGAGACGGGTCCCATAGGGGGGATGGAGTAGAGCCCTGTATTTCAGCCTGGGCCCCGACTTTTTTATGCCCCTTCGGGCCGGGCCTCTGGCCTGTTTTAGGCTTCTCCTTATTTTTATATTTTAGACATCCATAAATTAGTGATGAAAAAATTGCCGCGCTGGTGGAAACAACACGAGACCATGCTACCGCGACTATCAAGAGCGGCTCGATGGTGTTTAGTGTCCCGCAGCAGCATGAATGGTGCGTGCCGTCAGCGCAGCTGAAGAGTTCTGCGTTCAAATGCACGCAATAGGCTTAAGCTCGCCGCAAAGCATCGACAAAAGTAATTACCGTAAATGTGTCAGGGGGAAAGAGGAAGGAGATATTTGAATTATTTACTAATAAATAGTGTTTTCTGAGTCGGTGTCGCAAGGATGAAGTTGTCTATCCTGACTTGCCATCTCCTCATTAGACGCGCCTTTAGAGAGAAGTAGATCTTTACGGATTATGATTATAATGAAAGAGTTTTTGTTTAAAAACAAAACAAGCCAATTAGCATTTCAAGACTATAATATTATACCCAGAAGACACATTTTGCTGTATCCATGAATGATTCGATTCTCTCGGCTTTATTTTAATGTCAACGACTTCGCTGTAATATATTTTAAATCATGTAAATTATGTACATGCATAATTAATGGTATGTGCAACATTATTATTTGAGCAACAAAACCTTTTTTCTTCCCTTTAGAAGGAGAAAGTAAGACCGAAATGGAAATAGAAAAGTGGAATTAGAAGGAGAGAGAAAGACAGACTGTTAAATCCAAAGTGTCATGTTTTCCATTCTTTCTGGAAACGAAGCACTTCTCGGTCCTCTCTGAGGTCAGCCATAACCATGAGTGGCCTGACATCACAATGAATGACAGATATCTGCTGCTGACGGCTGAAATCAACTGTGGGGCTGTCATATAGAGCACAACATGACAAACACAGATATTTGACAGGATTTTCACTATATGCTTTTGTCTGTGAAGACAGATAACGAATAACTTCGCCAAAAGACATCTGTCTCTAAACAGGAAAGTCAATTTAGTTCTCAGTAAAGCATCATTTATTTGCAAAAACCACGTGCTTTGATATAATGCAATACAATTCAATGATTATAAAGTGTGACTGAAATGTCTTTATCAGCACAGTGCTCAAACAACACATTTTTGGCACAAACACTAAAACTAAAAACTCTTTGGGACTGGAATAATACCACGAAAAAGAGGACTTTTGCCTCCCACTGCCAGCAGCTTACATTCCGGAGACGGGAAAACACAGCTGCCCACATTCAAATAGAAGAGAGAAAGAAAATGCCTCCTGTTGAATCTACTTTCTGCATGAACTGCTGCAAGGTTCTACAAAGGATTGCGGTTCTTGAAACAAAGTTACTTGCTGGACTTCCAAAACAGGCAGAACACTCAGCAGACCGTCATCATGGACCCCCACAGCATACAGCCGGTGAGTCCCATGAATCTAGTGAATCTTAACAGTTTATACCAAGTGTAGAGGAACAAGCCGAAACTGATTGTCACACTAATCGATGGCACAAACAGGGAGCGAGACCCAAAGGCAGTAGAGACATCAGATTGTCACGAGTTTCTCGTATTGCTGCCGTAGCATCCTCTACCCCAGATTCGGCTATGACAAGGCTTGTGAATACTGGTATTCTACCACCCCCTATACATCTTGAGAACAGATTTGAAGCATTGATGAATGCGGGTGAGGGATCCTCAAATGTGATTAAACATTAATCGGATCAGCCAGCAGCTAACATAGCTACTAACAGGTGCTCAAGGTCGAGCAGACAGCGGCTTTCAGCTCAGAGCGCAGCCGAGCCCAGGACTCTGATAGTGGGTGACTCTATTATCAGAAACATCAGTAGCAGAAATACAACAACATGCTGCCTTCCTCAAGCAACCGTTTCTGATATGAACAAGGAACTTCGGAAAATTCTAATGAAGCACAAGACTGCAAATCGAATCATCATCCATGTGGGGAAGAACGATATTCGGAAAGAGCAGTCAGAACTCCTTAAGAAGGACTTCAGTGAACTCTTTGAAACACTTCGAAGACTTAAAGTTCAGTCGTTCATCAGTGGACCACTCCCAGCAAGGGGAACTAATATGTTTTCACGTTTGCTTTGGCTGAATGTGTAGTCTGACATGTTTCTTGTCCACGACACGACAAGATTTTAGGAGTCAAAATCGTGAAATCTGACACAGTGACTATTGTGACCGACAAAAATATTGTGTAGTCTGAACCCGGCATAAGGCCTTCTCAAGCCGTTCCCAATTCGTCGACGTCTCCGTTCCCTCCTTCAGGGAACGAGGGTTACGTAACTGAGACGTTTCAACTGTATCTCTGTCAATCACTCTGATATTTAGTTAAAATTAGTGAATTGACTGAGTGCTGTCTGTCACTGTCTTTAATCAGTTCTGTGAATGACTGTATGATATGCCACATGCACTGTAATATGTTTTATATTAAATATTACATTTTCAAATGAAAATAGCAACATGATCGTTTTATAAAGTATACGTTCATATGTGTTAAGGGCTAGATTTGTGGTGTGATGAGGGGTGAACGCAGCGAAAACCTTACAGTAGATGGGAAACCGATTGCCCCCTCGTGACCTTTTGGAAACTGTATTTATGACAAAGAACAGCACAGATACAGATATTATAACAATCTATATTATAACACACATCTTGTGTCCTCTGTTTCTGTTTGAGTCCGCTCGCACTGCGCCGCCACGGTCTGCGTATTGAAGAGCGTGCTGAAAGATGGGGAGGAGACGAAGTCTGCCGCCGTTTTCCTATGAAATTTAAAGGGTACTGCCTCTGAGACGATCACGAATGAGTACAAATGGCCTAGCGACGCCCATGCTTCTTACGACCATTTCGGAGAACCAGAACAAATATTTAAATCGATCGCTCAGGCATTCAAGTGGCACCGAAATGAGGCACCGAAATCTGCGTTCTGATTCGGTTCTAGTACATACCGGTTACATAGGTACCGGTGCCAATACCCAACCCTAGTTATGTATGCATGTGTACTCGCTCACCCTCCATTGAGACACCTGCGCAGAGAATATGAGGCTCCGCCTCCACAGGTACGAGAACAGTCGCTCCACGTGCCCCAGGCGTCCCAATCGGTGTCCCTCTCCTCATCTGAGCGTGTCGTTCTTGAAGACTGCAAGACACAAAAACACCAACATGTACTAAAGTGTACTACTTTTTTATGCTAAAACTCAAATCCCAATAAAAATGGCAGAATCCATTCTACATGGCAGTCGATTTATGACTGGGCAATTGTTGATGCCCTCTGTTGGCAAGAAAACATATTTATTTTCAATGGCTACCGTCAACTGCTTGGTTACCAACTTTGTTCAAAATATATTGTTTTGTGTTCAACCGAAGACAGACACACTGTCATACAGACAATGACAGAAGAGAACAATATTGTTGGAATCACTTTCAGAACTATGTATTCCAGTTGATGAACGATAAAAACATCAACAGCCAATCAAAATCACTCAACTTTAAAGAGCTTGAGCATTTAAAGAGGCAGACGACAAAACTGCAGCGCACTTATAATAAACAGTACATTATCGTGCATTGGTGTGGGTGCTAATATAGTCATCAGCAACCATTCATAGCATTCCAGTTGATTTCTCTATTATAGATGGATGAATTTGAATGACCAGGCAATTGATGTGTTCTGCTGACAAGTAAAAAGGCAAGAAATTGCATTCTAATGGCCTGTTTACAGCAAGAACGATTACAAAAAAAACTATATTGGCATCCACACCAACAGACAATAACATTATGTTTATTATAAGCACGACCTGCATTTTTGTCATCAGCCATTTTAAATGCTCAAACTCTTTAAAGTCGAGTGGACTCTGATTGGCTGTCGTTCATCAGCTGAACAAAATATTTCACGATTGGATTCCAACGATATCGTTCCTGTTATCATTATAGTTGTGAGTTTTCGTTTAAATTTAGAACTAAAAATAAATTTTTCTAAATTCTAAATATTTTTACAAATATATCTTCATCATTATAGTTACTGCCCTTGGTGTGAACGTGCCTTCAGTTGTTAAATGATGCCCTCTACTTGTGGATCTCAGGTTTCTCCAGTTTTGCACTGAAAAATCATATCGCTCTCAATTAGGAATGTTATTGCTGGACGAACACTTTTTTTTTCTTGAAGAAAAACACATTCATTTTCCAGTATTATTTATGTTTGGTCAGCCACCTATCCACTGAGCTCCTTCACTCTTCCCACCAGTAAATCCCTCTTGGACTGACCTTGAACACTAGCTGGGCTCCCAGTGCTCCAGAATACTTCTGCTTGATTTCTTTACCCACTCAAACTCTCCTGTGTGTTGATACAATTTATAGAGCAAAATATAGGCCTACTCACGTCTAGCTATGACCGACATTTTATTTAGTGTTAAATCAATTGAAGCTCACATTTACCGAACACAACCTCCCATGTGTCTGATCTGAAAGCAACCAAGACTGTAATTAAGCAATAAGACACGAGAGACTTGCGTCGCATCGAAGAACAACCCTGTTCTAGAATCTCATTCACGTAAGATTTCAAAATGACATGTTGGGACATATAGGGCCGTTGCACTTCGGGTGTCCCGAGTTCGATCCTGGCTCGTGAACCTTTCCCGATCCCACCCCCCCTCACTCTCTCCCACTTCACTTCCTGTCTAGCAACTGTCCTATCATAGTAAAGGCAAAAATGGTAAAAATAAATCTTGAAAAAAAAAAAAGACTTGTCAAGCTTGACATCATTGAATCCATTGGTTCATAAGCATAGTGCTGTTTAAAATATGCATAATGAATGAGATTCAAGTGCTGCAGTGGAGGGCAAGATATTCAGTAAATAACTATATATATATATTTTTTTTTTGTTTGTTTGTTTTTTTTGTTTTTGTTTTTGTTTTGTTTTTGTTTTGGGTGATTTACTAATGACAGAAATTAAATTTTTGGACCAATCTGTTTCTTTAAATATCTTATGCTCACCAAATAGAGTGTACAGAAACAAAAATTATTCATAAAAAAAAAGAATATTGTGAAATATTATTCCAATTTATAACGACTGATTTCTATCTTAATATATTTTTAAAATGCAATTTATTCCTGTCATCAAAGCTGTATTTTCAGCATCATTCCTCCAGTCTTCAGCATCACATGATCCTTCAGAAATCATTCCAATATGCTGATTTGGCACACAATAAATATTTATTATTATTTTTATCAATGTTGATAATTTTATCAATGTTGATAAATAAATGTTGCTTAATATTTTTGTGGAAACCAGGTTACATGTTTGTTTTTTTTCAGGATTCTTTGATGAATAGAAAGTTCAAAAGAGCAGCATTTATTTGAAATAGAAATCTTTTGTAACATTATAAAATGACTTTACTGTCACTGTTGATCAGTTTAATGCATTCTTGTTGCATAAAAGTATTAATTTCTTTCAAATAAATAAATACCTTACTGACCCCAGATTTTTGAATAGCAGTGTAAGGCCTCTTTTAACAAGGCTCTCTGATGGATAATGTGCAGTTGTTCTGTGGGAAAGACCGGTTTCTTTCGGCATTCTACAAATTCTTGCTCATTTTCGTTTGGAAAACGTAACATCTCTGCTTGTACAGTTCTATTACCATGAATGTGTGTGTAGAGGCTTTCTTAATTTCAGTTGTTGGACCGCAGTCCTAGTTCAACAGTCCGTCAGTAGTTGCCAATGAAAACAGACTAGCAGCGGTGGGCTTTGACTAGCTAGCCTCGAGGCACTGATGGGATGTCAGCTTTTACAATGATCTAACGGCGATCCATTTCCCTGAAGACTGAACTTTCCAGTCAAGAGAGATGCTGTAAATTGCCCTCAGATTGAATTTCAAATCCCTATCGTTTTAAAAGTTACTATCGCAGGTTCTTCCATAAGACTTCCTGACTTCTTTATGGTTTCTCCGCAGGCTCACCAGGTACAAAAGCAGCCAGTTTACTCCTCTTCTCATTACAAATCCCTGACCTGAAAATGGGACTTGAAGAGCTCACATCAATGCTTTAGAGGAGAAATCAACACTCATTTAGTGTCTACGCTGAAGCTGAGGACTGTATTGGCTAATGCTAGCAAGAGTTTAGCTTAGTTCAGGTTTCATTAGCCATGGTTGTCAAGCCCTGTGTATAAACAATGGTACTCAAACAGACATTACATAGCGATAGAAATATTACATTTTGTGTTGCAGTATAGTGAGTAACACCTTTAAGTTTACTTACTAGTGAATTAAATCAATCAAATTTGACTTAATAGAGCACAACAGATATATATTGTTATTAAACCAAAAAAAAACAAAAAACATAATAATTAAAAATTGTTTACAATAATTGAAATAAAGTTTAAATAAAATAAAATATAAATATTGAATGAGCAACTAAAACTTTGCAAATAAGTCAATAAGTTAAAGTAATACAATTACTAAAAGTAAAACTGAAATAAAAATAAAAATAAATGAAAAGGTATATAAAATGGATCAAGTTAAAAAGAACAGTGAAAACAAAAAATAAATAAAAGTACACAAACAAACACCTATATAAAATAAAAAACTAAAATACCTTTAAAATATATGTATAATGTATATATGTGTATAAGTATTAAAATACAGAGGAATGGTATTTAAAAAATGTATATACCCTTTATATAATTTTTTTTTTTAAAACATAAAATTACAAAAAAGCTAAATTAACTGAAAATATATATTTCATATATTTAGATTTTTTTACTTTTATATTCACTTTACAATTTAATTTCAGATTAAGTATATATATATATATATATATATATATATATATATATATATATATATATAT